TAATAATAATAATAATAATAATAATAATAATAATAAATGTAACAACAATTAAAATAATATTGATAATAGTAACTAACAAAATAAAAATATTTGCAGCGAATGTCACTGTGGAACATCGAGGATAATATCAAGATGCGTGTGCACAGTGCGTCGCATATAACTGTGAGTGATATCGATAGAATATACGTCAAGGCGGCCATATACAGAGGAAATGACTTGATTGTGAATCGAAACTCGGATTCCGTCTCACCAACGAATCCGCGATGGACCAATGTAGGTGGTCTTGATCCTTTTACTGGGAGAGGGGGGGGGGGACATGGGACCTAGACACCATTGGTAGGGAATGTGTGCGCATCACAGTGGGCGGCGATTGGGTGTGGGTGGAGCTTGCGTTAACGATCGCGATGCGTTGGCGGCGGCGGCGGCGAAAGTGCGCTCAGCGTGACAATTAGCGTAAGCCCCGCCCAATTGTTGCGCGCATGCTCTCTGCGCTGACGGTGTTTGCCTTAAATGTAGTGCAATCGCGCTCATTCAATTTGTATGAATGAGCGCGCGCGACTGCGCTATAGAAATGAGATAGATCTAAGAAAATGGCTATATCTCCTCAAGTAAGCAAAATCGCTCGGCAAAATAAATATTTTTCTGAATCTAGAGATGCAGCTGGATCGAATGATGCAAAGAAATCCATATGTTACTGGGCAAACTTGAGAGTACAGTAACCTTGAAGGTGGCACCCGCCAACTGAACAAATGCCTTATTAATAATATTACTATTTCAGGAATGGATCGATTTTGGTGTATATTTAAAAGATTTAACACCGGCCACGCAACTTTCACTATCATTAGTTGCTGTTAAGCAGAAAAAGAAAGAAGTCTCTATGTTTATTAATACTTACTACTTTTATTGTTACATTTATCGTTATTGTTATTATTATTGTTCATTGTCACAGTCCATTATTATTTGTTATCATTATTATTAGTATTATGATTGTCTACAGGAGCAACATAATGGAATAGGATGGGTGAATATTCGTGTATTGGATTGGAATAATGAATTGTTA